TATATATATATATGTATATATATGTGTATATATATATATGTATATATATGTATATGTATATATATGTGTATATATATGTATATATATGTACATGTATATATATGTGTATATATATATGTATATATATGTGTATATATATATGTATATATATGTGTATATATATGTATATATATATGTGTATATATATGTATATATATGTGTATATATATGTATATATACGTATATATACGTGTATATATACGTATATATATATGTATATATATGTATATGTATACGTATATATATGTATATGTATACGTATATATGTATATATGTATATATATATGTATATATGTATATATGTATATGTATATGTATATATATATATATATATATGTATATATATATATATATACACACACACACACACACACACACACCAGATTCCTGTTGTTATATTTGATTTTTATTGTTTAAACATGAATAAATATGTAAAAGTAAATGAAACCGTAACTGTCCCCATTTTTAATTTCATCTTGATAAAATGTCATTGTTTTTAGTCTCCGAGCTGGAAATGTCCCCAGATTTCACTTCAGAAATCTGGTCACCTTAACTAATGTAAGAGTGAAAATTGGATTAATGAAAAAATATAATGTTTGGAAATGTTATATTTTGAAAAGTGGATGTTATGAGACAGTGGGGGGGGGGGGGGGGGGGGACCGGAGGTAAAAAGAAAGAGGGAAAGAAAAGAGAAAATTAACATTAGTCAGAAAGAGCTCGAAATCGTGTCTGTGGATTATTCTATAAAAAGGACAATCGCAGTATCTGGACACCCACGAGTCTTGCACTAAGCTAGTGGTGCACAAAACAGACACACTAGCTAAAGAGCTACTTGCACGGTTTCACGTCGACAACCCCCCCGTTTGAAAACTACTGGTACAAACGGCGTGTCACACAGACGTGTCTCGGGTCTCCCGGTATACACGTGTGATGCACACTTGGCGTCAGTTGTCTGAGCTGTTAGCAGTTTAGAGTTAGCTTCCGCAATTTTATTTATGTTTTACTGGTTCAGCATTAGTGAAGCCATGTTTAGTTAGCGGAATATGGGTTAGCAAAGCTAATATTTTGTTTAGCTGTGCACTGTAAAGATGTAATCCAAGATGAAAATTTGATTTTAGTCCTGTTTGAGTCGACGACTGAAAAATAAACATTTCCAAAAGCACTTTTCTTCATATCCAGGAAGAGTAAGACTTATAATTTACTTTAAATTAGTATAATTTACTTTAAACTAGTATGAATTGTACCAATTGTGACACTGACCTGGTGAAGTTGTAAATCTGCTGCACTTTGAGGCTCCCAGTCTGGCTGTTCTTCAGTGCCAAAGCAATGAGGATGAAGTAATTGACTGGAGGACGAGGCCAGCATCCTGGCTCCAAGCTCTTAAAGTCCTGGTAGAAATCAAAGATTAATGTCTGACAAATGTTCTGCAAAACCTTTTCAGAACATGGTTTAAAAAAAAATTCCACAAAGTTAAATTAATCAAGATCAGGAAAATTTTATTTGCAGAATCCTCAAAAACTTTAACTTCTAAAAACTTTGTTAATTTATAGTCCCTTTGTTGCAGAGTGAAGGAGGGTGGGGGTGGAAATATACTTCATCCATCCGTACATGCGAGTGTGAGAATGTAAAGGAGAAAAACAAAGAAGTGAGGTACCAACATCTATTTTGGTGTGTTGCTGCACCTAAGCATAAGAAAGATTCCCATCCAAAACTGGGTGACCACATCAAAATCTAAGGCTCTATTTACGCAGACACAGTGGGGGGAAACAGGTTTTTACATATGTTAGAGGAGAAGGCTTGTGTTTACTTCGATCACACAACAATCAGCTGAGTTTTTATTTTTCCTGCGAGGAGAAGCCGTTCTCCCACCAGGCGGAACGGTTCTGAACGAGGTTCGACCCAGGTGCAGTACATGAAGACGTCGAAGAGAGAGATGTTGGATGAACTTTTTATTAAAAATTCCCCAGTTCTTTAATTCAGTCCATTCAATGTTTTAAGCTGCATTCAGAGTCAGAGATTCTTTATTGTCGTTCTGGGGTGGAACGACAATAATGTACACAGGGTCCCAGTTACATACAACAATAAAATGTGAAAGAAAAAAAAATGATAACGTCTAAAATATGAACTAAGAAAAACATCAACTAAAAATAGCTGGAGACCATTTCCACTGCATATCTTATTTTCGGGGGGGGGGGGGGGTAGGTTAGGGTAGGGGTGCACTGATTGCAGTTTTCTGGTCGATCACCAATCTCTAAAAAGTCTGACCTGCTGCTACCGATTTTGGCCGATACAGATTTTGTTTTAGAAGCGACACAGTGAGGTGTTATAAGGTCACAATGCAACTTCAATTTTACAGTCTTATTTTATTGAAAACGTACCCTTGAACAATATCTTGGAAACAATACAAACGTATTTTAACTGGCCATGAGGTAGTGCTCTGAAACATAAATGAAGTTCAGACAATTGTTAAAACTAAAATAAATAAATAAATAAATAAAAATAATTTGTTTCTCATGCGGGGCAGCACAATGGTGCAACTGGTAGAGCTGCTGCCTCTCAGCGAGCAGGTCCTTGGTTCAAACCCCGGTCCAGGGGCCTTTCTGGGTGGAGTTTGCAAGTTCTCTCCGTGCATGCGTGGGATTTCTCCAGGTGCTCCGGTTTCCTCCCACAGACCAAAAACATGCATGTTAGGCTGATTGGTAACTCTAAATTGTCCCTAGGTGTGAGTGAGAGAGTGAATGGTTGTTTGTCTCGTTTGTCTCTATGTGGCCCTGTGATGAACTTGCGACCCATCCAGGGTGTACCCCGCCCCTCGCACAGTGATTGCTGGACATGGGCACCGGCGACCCCCGTGACCCAAAATGGAATAAGCAGGTAAAGAAAATGGATGGATGGATGTTTCTCATGCAAGTATTGGCCGATTTCCAATTTCCCAAAATTAAGGAAATCGGGGCCGATAAAATCGGCCGGCCAATTTATCAGTGCACCCCTAGTGTAGGTGTGTTTGTTCCTTCTGAAATCCATGATCATCTCTTTTGTCTTCTACACATTGATTCTCTTTTGTTCTTTTTTTTTCCTCTTCCCTTTCTTTCATTAAGCAAAGAAGTGACAGCTTAAACAAGCCAGAAAAACAACATGGGACCAGTATCCAGGACGAAAACAGAGCAGAGTCCAGTTCATTAAAGTAGTTTACAGTTCGGTTAGCTTGTTTTTAATAGTGTGTTCTGTTTAATTATTGGTGTTTGTGTAACAGAGTTTGTGGTGTTGAATAAATAAATAAAAATTAAACCTGATGTCTTCATTTTCAACTTTAATAACATACAATATGTTTCGCATCAGCAGCACAATGGCGCAACTGGTAGAGCTGCTGCCTCTCAGGGAGCAGGTCCTTGGTTCAATCCCCGGTCCAGGGGCCTTTCTGGGTGGAGTTTACATGTTCTCTCCGTGCATGCGTGGGTTTTCTCCGGGTACTCCATTTTCCTCCCACAGACCAAAAACATGCATGTTAGGCTGACTGGTAACTCTAAATTGTCCCTAGGTGTGAGTGAGAGAGTGAATGGTTGTTTGTCTCTATGTGGCCCTGTGATGGATTTGCGACCCGTCCAGGGTGTACCCCGCCCCTCGCACAGTGATTGCTGGACATGGGCACCGACGACCCCCGTGACCCAAAATGGAATAAGCGGGTAAAGATAATGGATGGTTGGATGTTTTGCATCATTTTAATCACATAATTTGCATTACATAATGTCTAGATAAATTTATTTAGCTCAGATAGCTTCATTATATATTTCACACAAACAAATACAGTTTTTTATTATTACTAAACATTTTATTTAGCACATTTCAGTATGTTATAGTGCAGCGCGACGTGTGCGCCTGCCTCGACAGTCTCGTTCTATAAACAGCGATATTAGAACTGGAACAGACTGCGTCTCTTCCAACACAGATGTCGGTCACAGCACCTGGAATCTGACGTAGATTAACTACGAAATTAAAAATATATTCCATCAGTTGTAGTTCAGAAAGCACTGTGTCCGCCCCCATGTTGATAGAAATATGCCATCTGCGCGTGCGTATCTGGTTTAACACAAAGCCTCAGCGGGAGATGTTTACATTATCAGCGGGAGGTCAGCAAAAAACCTCCACTCTGGAAGGTGGATTCAAAAAACCTCCAGATTCAATGAGGGGGGCCACTGGTGTCGTGTAAATTAACAGCAGAACCGCAGAGAGAAAGGAATGGATTCACTTTAAATATCCATCCATCCATTTTCTTCCGCTTATCCCGGGTCGCAGGGGTAGCAGCCTGAGTAGGGAGGCCCAAACTTCCCTCTCCCCAGCCACTCGGTCCAGCTCCTCCGGGGGAATCCCGAGGCGTTCCCAGGCCAGCCGAGAAACATAGTCCCCTCCAGCGTGTCCCGGGTCTTCCTCCGGGACACCTCACCAGGGGGGCGTGTCCGGGACACCTCACCAGGGGGGCGTCCGGGAGGCATCCTAAACAGATGCCCGAGCCACCTCAACTGGCTCCTCTCGACGTGGAAAAGCAGCGGCTCTACTCTGAGTCCCTCCCAGATGATCGAGCTTCTCACCCTATCTCTAAAGGAGAGCCCAGACACCCTGTGGAGAAAACTCATTTTGGCCGCTTGTATCCGAGATCTCGTTCTTTCGGTCACAACCCAAAGCTCATGACCATTGATGAGGGTAGGAACGTATATCGATCGGTAAATTGAGAGCTTCACCTTTTGACTCAGCTCTCTCTTCACCATGACAGATTTGTACAGCGCCCGCTTTACTGCAGATGCTGCACCTATCCCCCTATCAATCTCACGTTCCATTTTTCCCTCATTCGTGAACAAGACCCCAAGATACTTGAACTCCTCCACTTGGGGCAGGACCTCCTCCCTGACCCAGAGAGGGCACTCTACCCTTTTCCGGCTCAAGACCATGGCCTCAGATTTGGAGGAACTGATCCTCATCCCGGCTGTGTCGTACTCTGATCTACAGCTTTCGCTGGAGCGGTTCACAGCAATCTGATAAAGCCAACAGGACCACATCTGCAAAAGGCAGAGAAGCAATCTTAAGGCCACCTAAATGAATCTCCTCAACACCTTGGCTGCACCAAGAAATTCTGTCCATAAAAGTTATGAACAGAATCGGTGACAAAAGGCAACCTTGGCGGAGTCCAACTCTCACCGGGAACAAGCCCGACTTACTGCCGGCAATGCGAACCAGGCTCTGCCACCAGTCATACACGGACCTAACAGCCCGTATCAAAGGGCCCGGTATCCCATACTCCCAGAGTACCTCCCACAGGGTTCCCACAGGGTTCCCACAGGGTTCCCCCGAGGGACGCGGTTGAACGCCTTCTCCCAGTCCACAAAGCACATGTAGACTGGTTGGGCAAACTCCCATGCACCTTCCAAGACCCTGCTGAGTGTGTAGAGCTGGTCCAGTGTTCCACAACCAGGACGAAAACCGCACTGCTCTTCCTGAATCTGAGGTTCGACTATCCAATGGACCCTCCTCTCCAGAACCCCCGAATAGATCTTACCTGAGCGTGATCCCCCTGTAGTTGGAACACACTCTATGGTCCCCCTTTTTGAATAGGGGGACCACCACCCCAGTCTGGCAATCCAGGGGAACTTCCCCCAATGTCCACGCAATATTGCAGAGTCACGTAAGCCATCAACCCTACAACATCCAGAGCCTTAAGTAACTCCAGGCGAATCTCATCCACCCCTGGGGCCCTGCCACCGAGGAGCTTTTTAACTACCTCAGTGACCTAAGCACCAGAGATTGGGGGGCCCGACCCAGAGTCCCCAGGCTCCGCTTCCTCAGTGGAAAACGTGCCGGTGGGATTGAGGAAGTCTTCAAAGTATTCTGCCCATCGACCCACGGCATCCCGAGTGAAGGTCAGCAGCACACCACACCCACTGTAAGCAGTGTTGGTGGTGTTCCTCTTCCCAGCAAACCCTCACAATACATTTGGGTCTGCCAGGTCTGACTAGCATCCTCCCCCACCATCAGAGCCAACTCACCACCAGGTAGTGATCAGTGGACAGCTTCGCCCCTCTCTTCACCCGAGTGTCCAAGACATGTGGCCGCAGATCAGATGGGACGATGACAAAGTTGATCATCAAACTGCGGCCTAGGGTGTGTGTCCTGGTGCCAAGAGCACATATGGACACCCTTATGCTTGAACATGGTGTTAGTTATGGACAATCCATGACGAGCACAGAAGTCCAACAACAGAACACCACTCGGGTTCAGATCAGGGGGGCTGTTCCTCCCAACCATACCCTTCCAGGTCTCACTGTCATTGCCCATGTGGGCATTGAAGTCCCCCAGCAGAACAAGAGAATCCCCAGGAGGTGCACTTTCCAGTACCCCCTCAAAAGGATTCCAAAAAGGGTGGATAATCTGAACTGCCGTTTGGTGCATAAGCACAAACGACAGTCAGAACCCATCCCCCCACACGTAGGCGGAGGGAGGCCACCCTCTCATTCACCGGGGTGAACCCCAACACACAGATACCAAGATGGGGGGCAATAAGTATGCCCACTCCTGCTCGGCGCCTCTCACCAGGGGCAACTCCAGAGTGGAAGAGTGTCCAACCCCTATTAAGGAAACTAGTTCCAGAGCCAGAGCCATGCGTAGAGGTGAGTCCGACTATTTCTAGCCGGAACCGCTCAACGTCACACACGAGCTCAGGCTCCTTCCCCACCAGTGAGGTGACATTCCACGTCCCAATAGCCAGCTTCTGTAGCCGAGGATCAGACCACCAGGGTCCCCGCCCTCGGCCACCACCCATCCCACATTGCACCAGACCCCTTTGGCCCCTCCCACAGGTGGTGAGTCCATGGGAAGGGAGACCCATGTCTCCTCTTCGGGCTGTGCCCGGCCGAGCTCCATGGGTAAAAGCCCGGCCACCAGGCGCTCGCTCGCATGTCCCACCTCCAGGTCTGGCTCCAGAGTGGGGCCCCGGTGACCCACGTCTGGGCAAGGGAACATCAAGTCCAATTCTTTTATTCATCACTTTAAATATGCGCCGTGTAAACAGCCCCTAAGAGTGCAATCCATTTTATATGAATTTAAACTGGCCACTTCTATCATTTGAGGAAACATGCTTCCTACTTTATTTTGCCTAAAAGTATATATTTTACTAATCCAGCAGCAGCTGGTATGAGAATCAGCATCTCCAAATCTGAGACCCTGGTTCTCCGTCAGAAAAGGGTGATTGTTCTCTTTGGGTCGAGGTTCTGCCTCAAGTGGAGGAGTTCAAGTATCTCAGGGTTTTGATCACGAGTGAGGGAAGAATGGAGCTTGAGATTGACGGATTGGTGCAGCATCATTCTGCAGTATTGTGTACCCTGTACTGGTCCATTGTGGTGAAGAGGGAATTGAGCTGTAAGGCAAAGCTCTCCATTTACCGGTCAGTCTACATTCCTACCATCACCTATGGTCATGAACTCTGGGTAGTGACCAAAAGAATGAGATTGTGGATACAGGTGGTTGAAATGAGTTCCATCTGCAGGGTAGCTGGACTCTCCCTTGGAGAGGGTGAGAAGTTCAGTTGTCTGGGAGAGACTCGAATAGAACCACTGCTCCTCCACATCGAGAGGAGCCAGTTGAGGTGGTTTGGACATCTGGTAGGATGCTTCCTGGGTGCCTCTCTAGGTGCTTTGGGCATGTCCAACTAGGAGTAGACCCCAGGGAAAACCCAGGACTTGCTGGAGAGACTACTTCTCTTGTTTGACCTGGGAACACCTTGGGGGTCCCCCCAGAAGAGCTGGAAGAGGTGGCTGTGGAACGAGATGTCTGGACCTCCCTGTTCAAGCTGTTGACCCCGCGACCCAACTTTGGAACAAGCCAAAGATAATGGATGGACTAAGAGTATATCTTCCTCAAGTGATTGGAGTGGCCCACCATTAACCACCCTCTGCATCTGCCACTGCACCTGGTGGTGGATAAAATGACTCCCTCCACGCACCAGGATCCATCCCCCTGGGCTGCCTTGAACAAAAAAAGAATCACCCCACCTCTGTTCTTTTACACTGTGCTACTTCTACCCTTTTAATATCTTGCAACAAAACATGTTAAGGATCCCTTGCTTTCAGTTAGTCCAGAAAAACAAACAGTCATCTCAAAAACTACAAACATTTACTCTTTAAATTCCTCAGTGGAGGGGGACATTGATGCATCACTTGTTGATTTTGAACAGTTTATATTACATTAGTTTGCTCTGAACAGACGGTTTGTAAAACAAAGCTGCTGTCCTCACCATGGCCTTAGTCATCCTCCCCTTGCGTCTGTTCTTCACTGGTCGACTGGAGAGGTTCTCAACCTTCAACAGATGGTAAAAAAGGAGATTAAAGCATCAGGTTGTACAAATCACTGCACTGAAACCTGTTTTTGTATTTTTAAAAAAAAGGTAAAGATTGTTAAAAACAGACCGATTACATCTTTGCATTGACACAAGGATCCACCTTATGTACTTGAAGGACCCTTTCTGTACATTTTGTTTTACTTTCCTAAAACCTGCATCTTCTAGTACAATAGAAGACTGACTGCATGTACAACAAAGTTAATATGAAAGTGGAACATGTTAACTGGTTGTAAACAACAAAATTCTCAAAGTGATCACAGATTGCCATTACACTGTATTCAGCTGAAGGACCAGAGTGCAGCCGGGCCTCCTGGGAAGGCAACAAGTGTAGACCTGCTGTAGATGGATGCAGCATCTCTCCAGGCTCCAGCTCAGATGTCTGGACTTCCTGAGCTAGTTCAGGCTGCAGCTCGACATTCTGCTGGTACTGGAGCTGACAGACAATGTTGGGATTCACCAGCAGCCACAAGTTTGGTTTTATCAAAATGTCTGAAAAAGAAAAATCCATTAGGAATAAAATCTTGAGCCTGTACAATGATCACTTCAGAGTTGGATCACTTTGATAAATCAGGAGTAGCAACATCAGGAAAGGTCACACACACACACATTTCTATTATTTCTATCCTTACAGGGACTTTGCATCCACTTCCATTCATTTCTATAAACTAAACTACCCTAACCATCACCAGTGCACACCTAATCGTAGTCCATCCCCAATTCACAGCTTAATCCTAAACCTAACCCACCAACGGCACTTCTGATGGGGCCCGGGCTTTGTTCAAGTTCAGGTACAGTATCTTTGTCATTCGCATCATATGTGGTACATGCTGTGGAATTAATTATGTAATCTGGTTCCCAGTTACACCCAAAAATATAAAGTATAAAAAGAAACAGTATATAATGATTTAAGATACACACAAAGATATAAGCTTAGCACAAATAATGTAAATGAATATGGTATATTAAAAAGCAGCCCAAACAGGAGTCTGTAGTGAGCAGATGGGTATGAATGAGTACAGCAGCATGAGATCAGCAGCACAGAAGTCACATTTCACCAAATAAAGTAGCATTACAATTTGGGCCGCATAAGGAGCAGTTGGTCCTCACAATATAGTATTTGTTGGAAGGGGGGGGGCAGACAGACAAGATGCTGCTGAAGCTGGTCAGCCTCAATATCCACAGTGAAAAGTTCTGTACCAACATGAGCTGAAAGGCGTCTCGGTGAGGACGAAGCCGTCAGTCAGAAAACGTACAAAAAGACAGATTACAGTTTATAAATGAACACATGGAGAAAGGCTTCAAGTTATGCAGCCATTTCCTGATGTCTGATGACACTGAAATTAATCTGCCTGGCCGTACATTTGGAGGCACAACAGGGAATCTTACGGTCCTAGCGGTAAAGTACGAGGGTAGCAGCATCATGTTCTGGGATGTTTTGCTGCAGGAGAGACTGGTACACTTCACAAAGTAGATGGCATCATAAGCAAAGAACCTTTTGAGGAAATATTGAATTACCATCAGACAGGAGGTTGAAGTTTGGACACAAATGGATCTTTGAAAAAGACAATGACCCCCGGCATTCTGATGAATTCATTACAGAGTGGTATAAAGAAAAGTTCAGTGTTTCTAGAGTAGCAGTTACACAGTCCTGGTCATATCCCATAGACTATTTGTGGCCAGAGATTAAAAAAGATAAATAAAAGTGTCTGAACAATGTGGACTACAAACCTGACTCGGTTCATCCAGTTCAGTCTGGAGGAACTGAATTACAGAAAACTGAAAATTCTGTGGAAGGAAACCCCGAAACATGTGATCCAGTCATACAGTTTAAAAAGTGGATGCATGTAAACGGTGTCAGGCAGGGAGAATAACTGGAAGCTAGCAGCCCAGCCGGCCTCAACGTTTACTTTGCATCATCCCACAATCAGCTGCTAAAATGTTACATTTACCAAAGTGTTTAGATTAACCGTTAAACTCATTTCAAATATGTTTTTGATACCTTTTCTAGTGCAAATGCCGGGGAACTACAGTTGAAGGTCTGTTTAAAAAATATTTTAAGAATCAGGTAACAAAGATAAAGCAGCTGCACGGAGCAGCAAGTGTTCGTAAAATGTTCTTGTATTTTTTTAGAAGTAAAACAGAAAACCTAAAGGATGGATTCAACTGAAAAGATCTGAAAAGACAAAAAATTCTGAAGTTAAAAAAAGTGTAAATTTTACAAACCAAATTTGATATGACAATTTAAGAATACACTAAATAAAGGCTTTAAAGACATCGAGTAAAACATTTTAAGTTTAATTTTCTCTGTTATTAATCGCAGCCGACGTGTTTTTCTTTAAACCCACCTGAGGTTTTGTCGAAGGGTTCATGTTCTCCTGTCGAGGGCCTGGCAGGTCTCTGAGCCCCGGACTGATCACTCACTCTCTCATCTGGCAGAGATGAACAAACTAAACTGATACACGTTTATTAATTTAATCATCTGCACAAGGATCTGCTCAGAGAGTGCATGAATATTTGGACTGTAGATTTGTTATTTAACCAAACTCATTTCCAATAAAGACATGTTCACCGTGATAAACCTGCTCGGTGGTTGTTGCCAGTTTCAGCTCTTTATCCAGGTCCCAGTCCAACAGACCCACAGAACCGTGCAGGTCCAAGAGCCCAGCTGTGGTTTTCAGCTGCATAGTCATAGCTTGGCGTGTTTCCTGTCAGTCAGGCAGAAACTCTCTGATTAAAGCAGGGCAGCTGTTGATGCAGCAGCTGCAACAGAACTGCCTGATTGGACTCAATTAGACCGAACAGAGTTCAGCCTGTGGTTCAGGTGAACAAGGAAGCTACACAGTACAGGCACAGGCTGGACGACGTTTCTTTGGTGGCTAATTTGAAAGTTGGAGCTGAATCAACACAAGAGTCCAGGGCGGTTGGCATAAAACTGGTTTGTGACTGGACTGCTATGGCATCTCAAGGTGAGAGTGAAGGGGATGATGAGATGGAGTCAGGTGAGTGGACACAGGTGCGTGGAGGTAAAGTGTCAGGAAGAGAGAGAAATAGAAAGGAAGATACTTTGCAAAGTAATAAAAGGAGTCTAGAAGAAGACAGTTCTGAAGAAAACAATGTGGTTCGTAAGAGGGTTGTTAGGGAAGAATCCAAATTAATCACAAAGTTTAGAAAGGAGGATGAAGGAATTCAATTAAGTCCGTTAGTGCTGTCAAAAGAATTAAAGAGGAAGTTTGGAGAGCTGACACTTGCTAAGACTCTTAGAGATGGGAACCTGCTGATAACAGTGAGGAACAAAGAGCAGAAAAACAAAGTGATGAAAACTCAGAGTATCTGTAAAAAATTGGTGAGTGACATCAAGATTTTGGGAGGCTAAGGTAGCTACAGGAGTGATCACAGGAATCAGTTTAGTTTAGATGCGGTATTTATGGAGGTGAAGTCAGCAAAATTAAAAGACTGATGAACAGCTGTTGAAGGTGAAAGAAAGGAAAGTCTGTCAGTGATGGTGGAGTTTCAAGCAGCTGTTCTCCCTGAAAGGATAAAAGTAGGATGTATGTGCTTCCCTGTTAGGCCGTACATCCCTCCTCCTCTCAGGTGTTATAAATGCCAGAGGTACGGACATATTGCAGCAGCATGTAGGGGGAAACAAAGATGTCCAAAGTGCGGAGGGGAACATAGATATGATGAGTGTAAAAATGGAAAGGGTACTTGTTGTAACTGTGGAGAACAACACAGGGTAACCTACAGAGGATGTGAAATCAGGAAAAGAGCAGTGGAAATGGAACTAATCAAAGTAATTAATAATAAAAGTTTCACAGAAGCTGTTCAGAGAGTGAAGAAGCCAAAAGAGGTGTAAGGAAAAGTTCAGCCGAGGCCAACACCAGAACAATGGCAGACTGGACCTGACAGAACTGACAGTAGAAAAGATCATGTTGTTCATTGCATATGTTATTAATTGTACAGAGCAAGTAAAACACAAAACAGAAAAAAATCAAAATAATTGTGAAAGGGGCAGAGAGGTTTTTTGGTATAAAGGATATATCCTGGGAGCACATAAATAAGACACTGGGAGCACATAAACAAGAGACTGGGAGCACATAAATAAGAGACTGGGAGCAGAAGGGAAGACAGGAGGACCAGAAGACAGAACAAACTGATCATCTTACAGTGGAATGCTAGAAGTCTAATATCAAATGGGCAGGAGTTTAAAGGATTTATCAAAGAATTCAAAGAAGATATAGATATTATATGCATTCAGGAAACTTGGCTTAAACCAAACCTTGATTTTATTATAAATGGATATGAAAACACTAGAAGAGAGAGAGGGAGGATCTGGAGGAGGGTGTATAACATTCATTAAACAGGGGATTCAATTTAGAGTTTTAGCTAAAGGAAGAGAGTTAGAATATATTGTTATTGAAATCTGGACAATAAATGGACAATTTAAAATAATAAATTTTTATAATCCATGTAAAAAACTTACATTAGACTTAATGGAGGAACTTGGGACATATTTAGAGGGTAAAGTGATTTGGTGTGGGGACTTTAATGGGCATAACTCATCATGGAGTAATCATAATGATCAAAATGGAGCTATAATTGAAGAAATAATGGATGCTACAAACTTGGTATGTTTGAATGATGGGAGTGGAACTAGAATTAATTTTAGAGATAATACAATGTCAGCAATTGATTTAACGTTAGTTTCAGATTCTCTAGCAGGTGTTTGTTTATGGCAAGTAATCAATAAAACAACTATAGGAAGTGATCATCACCCTATCATGACTGAAATAAAGTTACAAATAGAAAAGTATTGTATAAATGGGATGGAAAAATGGTGTTTTAGATCTGCAGATTGGGAAACTTATCAGAATAGTAGTGAAATAAAAATGCAAAATGTAGATATAAGTGGTAGTATTGACAACTTTAATTCTTCTATATGTAATGCTATCCTTGAAGCAGCCAATCAGGCTATAAGGAAGAAAGGAGGGAAAAGGGAAAGAAAGTTGGTACCATGGTGGACAACAGAATGTACTAAAGCGATTAAGAACTGAAATAAAGCTTTCAAATTATTAAAAAGAAATCATAACTTTCAGAATCTGAATGAGTACAAGAAACTGCAAGCAAATGTAAGAAGAACTATTAAAACTGCAAAGAGAGATTATTGGAGAAGTTTTTGTAATTCAGTAGGGAGGGAGACAGACATTTCTAAGGTATGGACAATGATCAAAAGGATGAATGGGATTAAAAAAGTGAATGGATACCCAATACTAAATGATGGAGAGTTAACAGCAGTGAAAGACAGAGAAAAGGCAGAAATGTTGGTAAATACTTTTGTTAAAATTCATAGTTCTGAAAATATTAGTGAAGAAGGGAAAAAAGGAAGAGAAAATACAATTTTAGAAAACAAAGAGGTATTGGAGCAAATAGAAAACACAACTGATTCACTGAACATGCTGTTTACAATAATAGAGCTGAATAGGGCACGTAAAAAATATAAATTGTCAGCTCCAGGAAAAGATCAGGTTTGTTATGCGATGGTAAGTAATTTAAGTAGATCATCTAAAAATATTCTATTAGAATTATAAAACCGAGTATGGGAGGATGGGGAAATTCCAAAAAGTTGGAAGGAAGCAGTGATTGTACCAATTAGAAAACCAGGGAAAGATGAGTCAAAACCAGGAAATTATAAACTTATAGCATTAACATCAAACATATGTAAAATAATGGAGAAAATGATAAATGAAAGATTAATATATTATATGGAAAATAAAGGACTTATGTCAAAGTATCAGAGTGGTTTTAGGAGAGGGAGAAGTACAATGGACCCAGTTTTATGTTTAGAGCATGAAGTTAGAAAGGCTCAAGTGAATAAAGAGTGTTGTGGCAGTATTTTTTGATTTAAAGCGAGCGTATGATATGATGTGGAGGGAAGGATTATTAATCAAAATTAGAAGAATGGGTATAAATGGTCATATGTTTAGATGGATTAAGACTTTTTTAGAAGGAAGACAAATACAAGTGAGAATAGGGAAGGATTATTCTGAGAGTTGTAATATAGAAAATGGGACACCACAGGGTAGTATGGTCAGTCCATTATTATTTTCAGTGATATCCTGATGCATGCTCAATTTGGATTTTCAGTGATAGTTAATGATATGTTTGTTTAAGGAAGTAGAGGGTGGAATGGGATTTTCACTTTTTGCTGATGATGGGGCAATGTGGAAAAGAGGAAGAAATCTAGAATTTATTATAAAGAAGCTTCAGGGAGCAATTTCAGTTGAAGAAAAATGGTCGTATAAATGGGGAATTAAATTTTCTGTAGAAAAAACTAAAATAATGTTTTTTTACAAGGAAAAGAGTTGATGAGAAAATCAAGCTAAAATTATACGGTCAGGAGTTGGAAAGAGTTAAAGAATTTAAATTTCTCGGGTTGTGGTTTGATGAAAGAATGACATGGGGTGTACACATTAAGAAAATAATCGATAAATGTAGGAAAGTGTTAAATATAATGAGGTGTTTAGCTGGAACTGAGTGGGGAGCTGATAGAAATTCATTGACAGCCATTTATACTGGATTAATTAGGTCAGTCTTGGACTATGGGTGCATATGTTACAACTCAGCAGCAGATACAAACCTCAATAAGTTAAATAATATCCAATACCAGGCACTAAGAATATGTACAGGTGCTTTTAAAACGTCTCCAACAGCAGCATTACAGGTTGAAATGGGAGAAATGCCTCTTAAATTTAGAAGGGAACAGCTATCTTTGAACTACTGGACAAATTTACAAGGACAAAGAAATGATCATCCAACATTAGAGGTGCTTAAATCAGGTTGGGAAAAAGAAAAAATCAAAAGCTTTGGGTGGATGATAAAAGCCAAAGTTAATGAAATCCATTTAGATCAAGTAGATATATGTCAGAAAGTTCCATTACCAACAACACCACCTTGTGTACTTCCTGATGCTATAGTAGATTTTTCATTATTAGAAAAGAAAAACAAGAATAAATCTTTTATTATGGATAAATATACAGTACAGGAGTACATTAACCAGTATTATAATTATGTACATATATACACAGACGCATCTAAAAATACAACTAATAAAATTGGGATCGCATTCATAGTACCACAATTTCATATTAAAGTAGGAGAAAGGTTTAGTGATGGAGTATCAGTTTATACAGGAGAAATGCTGCTTTACTTTTAGCAGTTCAGTGGGTAGAAGAGGTAAGACCATTAAAATCAATCATCTGCTCAGATTCTAGTTCATCATTGTCCAGTTTGCAACACAACCAGTCAGATAGTAGACCAGATATATTAATGGAAATACAACAAACACTCTATAGGATCAACATGATGGGGATTACAGTAAACTTTATACTGGTTCCAGCACATCACGGGGTTTTGGGGAATGAAAAGGCAGACAGGATGGCTAAGGAGAGCACTGGTCGGGACGTGGTTGATATTAATGTTGGGTTTAGTATAACAGAAATAAAGGGTATAATAAAACAAAAAATGAAAGAAAAGTGGCAAAAATTATGGGAGGAAGAAAGGAAAGGCCGGTGGTTTTATAAAATCCAAAGGAAAATTGGAGAAAGGAGAAGAACAGAAAGAAACAGGAGAGAAGAAACGATTATTTCACGACTCAGAATTGGGCATACTGGACTGAACAGCACGTTATGTTTAATAGGGAAACATCAAACAGGGACATGTGAGTGTGGAGAAGAGGAAACCATAGAACACATTATATTGCATTGCAGGAGATACCAGGTTCAAAGAAACAAGTTGATTAGACATCTTAGTAAAATGAAAATGAAATTGGACATTATTGATTTATGGCAGAAAGATTCAGGAAACAGAGGCTATCAAGCTATATTTTATTTTTTAAAACGGTGTAGGTTGTATAAAGGATATAAAAGGAAAGAGGGTTGTTTTAATTTTTTTTTGTCATGTGGTCCACACTCCTTACCAGTTGGTGGCGGTAATGCTTCCTTCAGTTGTTTGACAACCGCCAATAAAACAAGAAGAAGAAGAAGAAGAAGCCTGTGGTTCAGTGGAAGCGCCTTAATCATAGTTAGGTTCATTTATTAGGCTTTTAATTTCAATATATTTTAACAAACAAAGAAAAAACTGCAAACATACTGCAACATTATACAAATACTACATCATAGTGATGTAGTATTTTTATGGTTCAGTTTTATGTCAAAGTGAGTTTGGAAAAGGAAATTCCAACAATATATCAGTCTAGTGTTGCATATTTTAAACACAAATTCTCATTTTTCTGTGCTGGATTGACGATGTGCCCAGAGTGTACCCCCCTCTACTGCAGACAGACACCCCCTCTCTACTCATCTGAACCGCTTTCCTAAAACATCAATTTGACATTCCTGAAACAAAAAGTTCTGGTCCCAGCAAGATTCCCGGCCGGATTTGAACTGGGTTTCACTGAGAGGCAGCAGCTCTAATAACTGAACCACTGTACCGCCCTCAACTGAGACATGTAAAGGAAAAATAAAATAAAAACTGTAAATGAGCACAGTCTGGGTTTATAGATAAGAAGTTTGGAATATATTGTCCTTAAGGAATTAGTGTTTTTTAATTAGAATTTTTTGCCAAAATGTTTAAAATGATGATGATGGAGCATCATTATATTCAAAAGAAACTTTCACAACCCTTTTTAATGCTGTGTCAGAAACATATTTGTCTCCCTCTCTCCACAGGATAAGGTTCTGCATCAGGGTGAGTTAAAATATCTCAGGGTTTCGTTCACGGTGAGGGAAGAACGGAGTGTGAGATCAGCAGATGGATCGGTGCAGCTTCCACAGTACTGCAGACTCTGTTGTGGAGAAGAGGGAGCCAAGCTGCAAAGAGAATTTCTCTGTTGGTCTGTCTACGTTTCTACCATCATCTATGACCATAAACTCTGCGTAATGACCAAAAGAATGAGATCATGGATACAGGTGGTTGAAATGAGTTTCCTCTGCAGGGTAGTTGGACTCTAACAGAGACAGGTTGAGAAGTTCAGTTATCTGGAGCCTCAAACTGCTGCTCCTCCACATCGAGAGGGGCCAGGTGAAGTGGTTTGGGCATCTGGTAAATATGACCCCTGGACAGCTGGGAGACCCCGGGGAAGACCCAGGACACACTGGAGACTACATCTCTCTGTTGGCCTGGAAACACAATGAAGTCCTCCCAGAAGAGGAGGCTGTGGAGAAAAATGTCTGGACCTCCCTGCTCAAGCTGCTGGATGAATGTTATGTTTTTATTTTCTAATGACATTTTCATCTGTAACTTCATTTAGATATTTTAAATTAGTACTAATTGCACATACTTCCTCAGACGGCTGAGGTGAGCTGGTCTGGGAAGCTCAGTCCTCACCTCCTTCTACAGGTGTGCAGTGCAGAGCATCCTGTGCTCCAGCATCAACGTGTGGCATGGAGGCTGCACAGCTGCAGAAAGAAAAGCTTTGCAGAGAGTGGTGAAGGCTGCACAGAAGATGTTGGAGTCAGTCTCCCCACCATCACAGACATCTACACCTCCAGATGCAGGAAGAGGGCCACCTGCATCATGAAGGACCCCACTCACCCAGCACACACATTTGTCCCGCTCCCCTCAGGAAGGAGGTCAAGGAGCATTAAGTGTAGAACCACTAGACTGAGGAACAGCTTCTACCATGAAGCTGCTAGACTCATGAATCTCTAACCAGGATAATCACTGTGAAAAATCACATTGTATTGCTGCTGATCTGTTTCATGTTGCTGCTGATCTGTTTCATGTTGCTGCTTGTGTTTCATGTTGCTGCTGATCTGTTTCATGTTGCTGTGTTCATGCGTGCTCATCTGCTCACTCATGTTCGTGCTGCTGTTCAGCGTAATGTTTTTGTTCCATTGGTGCTTAGTGTATTTTGTTAACATTGTCTTAGTTCATATCTTAGATCTTATTAGTTTTTCTTTTACATTTTATACTTTTGTTGGATGTAACTGGGACCCTGTGTAAACAATTTTGTTAATTCGTGTGTACGACAAATAAAGAATGTTGAATAATTTTTTCATAAAAACACTGCAGCCAGTTTTCTCCTGCGGTGAAGCAGTTTAATCTTTTTGTCACATGTACATCACACTTCACAACAGAACAAAGCAGTCATAAATCAAGTTTTTACAGCACGAGAACACAACAATCAAAGTCTTCTTTAAATACTTATATATCTTTGCAGAATTTAAACATTAAGTTCTTTATATAGTAACAAGATTTTGTCTTATTCCACTTTGTTCATTTACAGGAACGACACACAGAAGCACCAAACTCCTGCTCGGTTGGTTCATTTTTATTGTTTAACAATAATCTGCACAGTAAATCAGACTCACACGCGTCACGTGATAGTTTAGATGGAAACGATATGAATTACCAGACATGCAGACAAAAAGTAGCACTGACGTAAATAAATACAGGAATGTTTGAGTTTGTCCACTGTGAGCTGGACAGAATAAAGGTCAAAAGGTCAGATTGTTTCTTGTCAGGTTATTTCCTGGTTTGAATCAACTTGCTTTAATTTTATCACCTGATGTGTGAGGAGGACAGCACATGCTGTACGATACACACTGTGCTTCAGGAAGTTTGTTTGAAAGTCAAATTAGTGAAAGGGACACCAGATTAGTGAGACGACCGGAGCTCGAGGGGTTTGGTTTCAACTCTCTGGATTCATTCAGAGCAAAATGATTTTTACAACTAGAAACCACTTTGTATGGAACCAGTTTACACCAGCAGGTGAATAATGGAAGAAGTTTTGTTTCAAAGTGCATCTTTACCACCACACCAAACACTGGATGAAATAACGGCGGGAAGTGGAGGAATGGAATGGAGTGAGGAAGAGGAGGGTTAGAAGATCGGAATGTAGTTGTCGATTTTGGCACGGTGCCGCTGGGCGATGCACTCGGCGATCCACACGATGTTCCTGCACTCCTGCTCCTTCAGCTTGACGTAAGCGTAGAAGACGCTGAAGTGGAACTGGTTGAGGAAGGCCAGTTTGTTCAGCTTAACCTGCAGGTGCGAAGAACGACAAGAGGAAGAGGAAGTTCAGTAAACGTGAAGGTAAGCTAGCACAACATTAGTGCGCTAGCTTAGCACTTACGAGCTTTGTTGTGAGCTTACTAGTACAACTTACGTGGCACTAGCTTAGAACTACAAGTCCAGTCAAAGGGAAATTATTCCATCTACCACACCTGACCCCCCAGCCACCCACCCCCGAAAAACTCTGGATCTAGATGATTCACGTACATGACAGTTTTGATTGAAATGGACGATTTTCATCAAAAAGAGACAACTTTGCAGGTATGCATTACAGCTCTGTTCCCATCTGCTTGGAGGCTCAGAGGCATAACCACTGCGGGGTGACTTCAACCCCACATGCCACCTCATTCCTTGTCTAAATTCCACTGAGACAGGATGAAGCTCTCTCAGGCCCAACTTGAAATCATTTTTTTAAGTGCCCACTTACTCTACAATAACATGAAATTAAATCAAACGATTTAACTGGAAATTATTTGGTGTCTAAGTTTGTTTTTCTCTTTGATACTTCGCGTTATTCAAAAAATGTTCGATCAGTGTGGGTCCAACTGTGGTGCAGGTGTCAAAAAGACTCCAAAATGCTATCCTTTAAAGAGTCCATGTTGAAAATGTTTTTGATGAAAACTTGTATGGCAAAAGTTTTTTTTTGTTTAAAAGACAACTTCAATCTGAGTAAATCATCAATATCATCTATCTCCATCAGCCTCCATTTGTTTTTAAGTTGAAACATGAGATAAAGCACAAGATCAAATATATCACTTCATTAATTCTTTGACAGACACAAGTATCAAAATGTCGATGTGTTGTAACGCAGAACAGAGCGGTGAATTACACTGAAAAGAAGTCTCTGTGGAAATCTGACTTGTTTCTCAATGCACAGTAACTGCTCAGTCCTTTGAACGAGTGGATTTCTGTACATCGAAGAAAGATGCGTCAACTACTGACTCACCTCGTGCTCAAAGAAACGGTCCTCCAGAGTTTTGTCTCCAGGGTTGCTGCCGGCGCCCTCGAACAGCAGCTTGTACTCCTGGAGATGGAAAAAAAAAAAAAAAAACAAGTTCACGCAAACAGACTAACTCATCGTTACGAATGAACTGGGTGATCAACTACTGTAAAGTAAGACGGCATAGATGTAAAGTGGAAAAGACGTTCATTAATAAATCAGCCGATTCCAAAACCGTACACATAATCAACTAAATGAGTCAGTGGAATACAGGATCATGGCGTGCTGCGGCATCCTCTGGTGGAAAGACAGATGATTACAGTACAGTAGTCCCTCGCTGCTTCGTGGTTCGTTTTTCACAGATTCACTATATCGCGGATTTTCAAAGTAAGATTGGACATGACAGTTGACTGATTGATGGATGAGCCATGAGTTGTTTATTTAAAATAAATTATTTTAAATCCTGCAGCTGATCAGCTGATTTCCTTCTTTGCACCCACATTTCTCCTGCATGGTCTTTGTGAAGAGTTAACTCTTTGCTGTCCAGGTGCACCGATCAACTGTTGTCTTCCAACTTAAAATTCAAAGTATGTCGCATAATAAAATCGTCATAATCACAAAATATAAAAGTGTTAAAAGTTATTTTTAATTATTTTAGAACTTCTATGTTCAGTTGTTTCAGTGTAATTGATCAAGAAGTACATTTCTGTTCTGTGCTGCAGAGCTGAAGCTGCGTGACATCCCTCTGATGTCCTGCTGCACTTCTCTTCTCTACAATTTAAATTTAAATAGCGTAACATTTTAAATAAACAAAACATTTTTAAAACATTTAAAATGTTACACTATTTAAATTTTAATTGTTTAATTAAGGAGTGAGATTGGAAGTAACAGGTGATAAGTGTGATTGCAGTCTGTCATGACAAAGTTTACTGAACTTGGACTACTGTAGCCGTACTTGGCAGTTTTTCACTTATCGCGGGTGGGCGTCGTCCCAAACACCCACGATAAACGAGGAACTACTGTATAGTAAGTTTTTTATATGGTTATTTAACAGACTGATCAATAACAGGTTCTAAAAACTCAACACTGACATTTTTTATTTAGATCTACATTATTCCTGGGGGCTCTACTGTCTAAATGATTATGGTATAACTTCCTGTCAGACAGGAAGTAGCAGTAATGATTGGTTAACCATGGTAGCGGAGCATGGACTGTGGTTTATTTGAAAGTAATTTACATTCAGTTCAGCAGATAAAACTGTTTTTGTTTTGTTTACATTTATTTAACAACCATAGAGTTTACTAAAATAGCCGTGCTGAGTTCAGGTTCCTGTTGTGTTCACGGCTGCAGAACAACCAGACCTAAATCAGTGGCCACAACAACAGAGTTTAAACACGGACCCAAAACAATAAGTGTTCCTGTGAAAAGAGGTACAGTTTCCATCTCCTACCTACAGATGAAGAATTAAGAAGAATGTGGCTGAAAAATGTGAACTTGAAGAGACCACCCAAAACTCTGTATGTGAGCTCCTTTCACTTTGTTGACAAACGGCTGACGGAGGAAAACCTGCATCCTACTTTGTGTCTGGACTACAACAATGCTGTTGGAGCTCTGACAGATGGTGTTCCTACTAGGGGTGCTGAAAAAAATGATTTTTTAAAGAATCTAGATTCTGAGCCCTGGTGATTCTGAATTGTTTCTAAAGGTCCATAAGTCGATTTAAAAATGCGTTTAAGTTTAATATTTTTTCCGCTCCTACTCCCCATTCGGCCGCCGTAGAATTGAGCCGTGTAGGCCACCGTACAGCAAGCTAGTTAGCCAGCTCCCTTTATCTGAATGGAGCCTGCTAGCAAGGAGGAGGGAGACAGCGTGATTCAATCCGCTGCTTCGTCTTTAAAAATCATTTCAGATCCTACAATGTTCCGGGGGAAGACAGAGCTTCACAAGAGCACGGTTGTTTACAAGAAGTGTAAAATAAAATAGCGGGACAGTATTTTGGAAATACGACAAAAATGCACAGAAGATGAAAGCGAAACAGCCGACCAGCGAACTCTGCAACAAACTTCCAGACTTCTCCCAAAGGCTGTGAAGAGTTCCCTCTCCATCTCCTGCTGCATCACAAAGGATTTACGAGCAGACAGCTCAGTGAAGGTGAGGGGTTCAGGTTTATTTTTAATACGATGGACCCAATGTACGTTATTCCTTCATGTAGATTTTTTTTTGTGATAAAGCAGCACCACAACTTCTGAAACAACAAATGGGGGAAGCTCTGATGCAGCTGCAGCTCAAAGGTAACTGCTTTTTCTCATGTTATACTAAAAGTTATAGACAAGTTGTACAACAAACAATGTAATTTATCTTTTTAACAGGTTCAAGAGGACAGATGAGACACAACACCTGGAGCTAGTTCTAAATGATACAGTTTATAGTTTATAAATTATAGTTCAGAAGAGATTTTTGTGCAAACTTGCACAGGTTTTGAAATTTTGTTAAAAATTAACTAAATATGATTCAATATGGTTAAGACTGTGAAGTCTGTATATTTTATATTAGGTTTTGAAAATATAACAAATATTAGAACAATATGGTTAAAAATAACTGAGGTCTGTATTTTATTTTGAGTTAAAGTTTAATGTACTATGGTAGGCTGAAGTATGTTTACTTTTATATTTATATATTTTGAATTATTTGTCTGTGATGGACTGGAGACCTGTCCAGGTGTCCCCCGCCTCTCACACAGTGATGGCTGATATGGGCACCAGTGATACCAGTGACTCAAAAAGGAAGAAGTGGATAAAGATGATGGATGGATGAATTCTTTGTTCCTAGTCTAAAAAAAGTTAAATCTGGTCCTCTGGACATTAAAAAAAAAACCAAAACAAAGCAAAACAACAAAAAATGTAGAAACGTTTCGTCTCTCATCCGAGAGACTTCCTCAGTCTGAGGTGCTGTTTTCAGCTCAGTCTCTTAAATAGCACCTTCTCAGAGTGGATCAACCAGTTTTGCTGCTGACAACCAAAACCAGCTGATCACATGCTCAAGAAGGACCATCAGCCTAACAATGGATCATTAGCACACTGATGCTAATGATCCAACGTTTCTACATTTTTTGTTGTTTTGCTTTGTTTTGGTTTTTTTTGAATGTCCAGAGGACCAGATTTAACTTTTTTAGATTTTTCTACCTGGATTATTGAGCATGCATCAGGATATCTTTGTTCCTAGATTTTTATTTTATGCATTTTTTTTTTTAATTCAGGCAACTAAGCTAACCCAATACTGGTAATTTAAGTTACAGAATTTTGAGCACTCCAATATTTTTTCCTATTTTTGGTATAAATATAAAATTAATCAAAAATATTTAATAAAGTAAGGAACCTAAAATTATTGTTTTAAATAAATGTTTTATTTGTTTACATTGTTGTTTTATCTTTTCAGCTTGTCGGTTACATATATAATTGAAACAAAATTTATGACAATTTCAATAGAAAAATCATTTCTGAAATGAAAAATCGATTTTGAATTGTATCGTGACGACAAAAATCGGAATCGAATCGCCAGACACAGAGATTTGCACCCCTAGTTCCTACATGTTTAAATTAAATCCACAATGCTCGGAGAAACTACAAACTGGATTCCAAAACAGTTGGCACACTAAAAAAATTGTGAATAAAAACTGAATGCAATGATGTGGAGATGGCAAATGTCAAAATTTTATTTGTAATATAACTTGGATGACAGATCAAAAGTTTAATCTGAGTAAATGTAACATTTTAAAGGAAAAATATGTTGATTCAAAATTTCACAGTGTCAACAAATCCCAAAAAAGTTGGGACAAGTAGCAATAAGTGGCTGGAAAAAGGAAATTGAGCATATAACGAACAGCTGGAAGACCAA